TCTTGAATCATTCTTCTCACATTAACTAGTTCGGGAATCCAGTAGCGTTACGTTACCATTTGTCTTTATCGCTGTTCCTACGACTGACTTAATATCACACCACCACAGGTTTTCTCAGGTTGAGCATTGCAGTCATGTCTAGGTAAACGCATAACTAACTCCTCCGTAAATACATACTTGACGTCCACATCTTCCAATGAACCATAGACAGCCTTTACTATAACCGATTTCCCGCCACCAGTAAGGGGCAGAGATACACGAACCCGTATTAGCGCGTGACTGAAGTGGAACCAGAAAGAGCTGCAATCCTCTCTAAAGATGGCTAATAGCAATATGTTGTATCTGTCTCGACCGTTGGTTCGAAGTTGGGGGATTTTACATACTTCAGTGGCCACTTTTATCTGTCTTTACAGTGACTTGATATAACCTTCAGGTTCCGTGCTTTGTTAGATCTTGACAAATTACTCCTGAATACTCTTCTATATTTGTGTTGTGGTGCAGCCTGAAGTAACTTAATCGGAGCTGGAAATAAAGTGGGTGATTTGCTGACACTTTGGAGAAGTGTATTTGATGAAGCTTTTCTTCCCTGCTTAAAAAAACCAGACTGATAAGTATTTGCAAAAACATTTCCCATAGCTTTAGATGTGGAATTCCAATATTGTACGGCACTGAATTTGCAGGAATGCTTTAATTTCATTCCAACCCGTTGTGTGGATTTAAGAGTTGCCTTAGGACTTCTAACAGTGAAGTGGTTACATGAATGTACTAACCTGAATAAACCAAATTCACTTAGGCTTTTTTGAGCAGGCAGTACTGTCACACTGTTTTGGTTCTGTATGCCAAAGAGCCTCAGTCTTTTAGATGACAGCCTGAGATCTTATGTCCATTTTGAGCCAGAGTAATCTAGGTGTAGTTGGTCGGAATGATAAGCTACTCCGCTAGGCAATGAGTCACTATAGTATTTCACCGTGATGACTTGCTCTGACCACCTGATGCACTGTGAGCAACCTATGAATTTGGATGGATTCGAGGTTTTCCAGTTGCCTGCTGGTTGATGGATGTGATGTCTGAAGTGCAGCTGGTTTGCAGACAGTCCTTGTGTCCATTTTCTTATAAGAACACAAATTGTCTTGATAAAGTAATCCAGTGTCATGAGAAGCAACTATGATGTGATGCATGTGCAGGAGCATTGAACATTATTGTGTGCAGTTGTTGACTTTGATGTTCGAGCTTGCACTGGTACTCTTTGAGAACTTCTTGTGGACATTCATTATGAGGTATGGTTGTAGAAAGACTCTATAGCATTCAATATGTTACATCATTTTACAGACTATCGGCCAGTACTTAATGGTTTTTATCGGCATGATCTGATTGAATTTCTGCATCATTTGCTGTTTAGTGGTGGGTATTGGAGGGGTTAATATCGTTCTCACCCATTGACGTAACACGATTCATATTATCAGGCTTCTTAAACTCATTTTCAGCTTCACTATGACCATCACTGAAGTACTGACACAAATTCTCTTCAAAATCTGAGGACTTAAGCATGCAGATTCTACTTGGGTGTCATCCAGCATTTGCTTAAGTTTCTCAATAATCCTCAGTGATCAGGCTTCCATCCTTTCATTACAGCGTTGCAAAAAAGCTTGAAACTCTTCAGTGAAGAAAGTTGCCATTTTGTTATCCTGTCGCCAACTTTCATATATTTTTACAATAACTTGATATAGCCTTCAGACTCCACCCTTAATGGTAAATCAGTTTCTCCGTAAACAGAAAAGGTGGTAATGGAACAGAATGTGTATTTACAACGTCAAAGATAAATACAAAGCACAAGGTTTTTACATATCACAATGGCCTAGGCTATTTCCAGGTCTACTAGATTTAAATTCTATTAATTTCTTTTTATCTCTGATACCTGATACTTACACGTTGGTTCAAATGTTTTTTCCCGAAATTTCAAAGTAAAGCGATTGGTTGAAAAAGGCTTTGGGTATCTGCGGCTTCCTAATACGATTTTGCCAGTCTTTCTGCACACTACAAACGCTGACGGCATCTGAGTGTCGCTTATTTTGCTGAAAGTTAGTGATTGTCGGAACAAAATTGCAACAGACAATCACCGTTGGGATGGGACTCCGTGGGTACCCCAAGATGCCTCTCCAACTGGCTCAGCTGCCCTACTTGAGCATTAGAGTCACCTATTATTATGACAACATCTGAATGCTTTGCTTTCTGTAGCAAGGTTGACAGCTTTTCATAGAAATCATTCTTTGCATCATCCAAACTACAATCGGTGGATGCATAGGCGGAGATTATGAACATGCACCGCTTGATGTTTCCCAGAAGAGTTGCTATAAACCTCAGTATATTAACAATCATAGCAACGGCAAAGTATTGAAAATAGAGTAGAGGAACTTGCAAACAAGTGGAAGGAAGATGAGACGATTAATAGCCGTGCATCACATGAGCATGACTAAATATTCAACCCACATATGGCCAGTAACAAAGATGAAACAACGAATGAATCAAGAGAATTATGTTCACATATGACAAACAATCGATAGCTGATCATATTCTTTGTATGACACGATAAAATCAAAAAAGCGCCTCATGATCATCATATGATGAGATAAGCAGGTAGACATACATGTGGAGCATGTTCTTAGTCAGAAACCCGTTCTCGATGTAAAGAGATAAATTCCTTGCCTTGGACAAGATAAATCCTACCACCGAATGTTACAGAAAATGGTTACATATATCCAAGATCGCGATATCATACTTTGTCTACTGTCACTTCGATCAGTATTACATTGGCACAAACTTGAACGAAGGGGACTTAGCGCTTCTGATAGAATCATAGCGATCTAAAGGAAGTTAACTCAAGCACTAAAACGTTTACTAAGCAGTGAAACAAAAACGACAATTGGTCTCATCTAGTAAAATATGAGGCAACTGTTCAAAGTTGAAGACGAACTCGAACAAATTTAAAGTACTTAAATTCATGACCAGCCATCATCATCAATATAGGACCAGGCATTACTGCGTAACGGTCCGAGTTGCCACAGCCCATATCAAGACATCTAGTAATAAGACAGTGAGGCGCAAGTGGAAGATAAGAGAATGCAGTCAAAAGAAATATAAAGTACGAAAAGAAAGAAAAGAGGAGTGACAAAATGGTGAGATTCGGTATGGCGTCGTTAAGATGAGGATAATGTGTGTATACATCTGCGCCACTGACATCGGTTCTCAGCCACATCCCCTATAGTCTCCAACCACTGGTTCCTCTTGTCCCACGGACCCCAACCACCTAGTCTGAATCGCCCCACATTTGGCTCAGACCAACAGTCAGAGACCTTATACATTGGTGCCATGTTTTAGTCTGGCCACCTCGGGCCTTTTTCTAGCCTGGGCCTACTTCAGCCAACATTGTGTGACGAGGCAATCGGTGACTAGGCATACGTAGTACGGTCCCAACCACCTCAGTCGATGAAGGTTCACAACCTCGTCAAATGACTTACCTCTTCTCCCCAAAACTCTACACCTAACTTCTGCATTACTCATGTGGTGACACCACGGAATACGTCCTATACTACGAAGGCAACAGTGGTCAAACACCTGAAGCCTTTTTATATCTTCCACTTTCAATGGCCATGTTTCACAGCCATACAGTAGAACCGAGAGGACTGCTGTGCAGTATACGCGACCCTTAATAGACAAACGAATATCAATACACCCACGGCCGGGTCTAAAGCCTGCTTGGTTTTCTCGGGCTTGCTGTTCCCGAGTCCCACTCAGGAGTAGAAGAATTATAGAACTAGAATCTTAGACACTATGTTCGTCAGGCTGACCAGTTGCTTGAGGTAACTACAAAATGTTTAATTCAGTGAGGACTAGGACACTTAATCCTCAATTAATTAGTTCATTGATTAGTAGCGACCTGCATATGCATGTTTTATTTGCCTTCCTATTTTCAGTTACTTCTCTGATTGCTGACATCTCATTAGTTTATGCAGTGGATTTCTACTCAAACATATTGAATTTGTGGCTTTTATACTTTGTTAACTGTAACTTGTATGTTACTCCATTCTTATTTCATTTTGAATGTGCACAATATTTATTATTCACCAGTGAATATAGAGCCAATTATTACTTTTAAGAAAAAGCAAGACTGTTTTCTGCATTCAAACTCAAGTGCTCGTATTCAAGATGAATTTAACACTACAATTGAGTCTGTCTATGAAATTTGACAAAACCAAAGATATGTACATTTCTGAATTCACAAACTTACAAAACCCCCCAAGCTACTCTTTGAAGCCCATATTTTCTAGACGTCAACTTCGTACTCTTCATACCTGTCGGAGTTTACAGTTTTCTAGAACTTCAGTTGTGATATTTTTAGTTTTGGGAACTATCTTCAATTCGACAACCTTCATTCCAAAACGATAGTTTTACATCCGTTCAGTTAATCACTCATACTTGACAAGCGATATAACATCTTACATAATCCTATTCCATTGACTTTGTTAAGTGATCTGAAAATCCTGATAACATGAATCTTCATTCTAAAGCATTGAATAATCCATCCCCGAATAGTGTACGATTCCCGCCAAATAAAGGAAGGTATCAATTAATACATAAGTTATAAACCACAATACGAAAAAAATACGTCTATATGGTACTTATTGCCAGTATCTGAGGTTAATTATATCGAGTGGGTTTTGTCTGTTAAAACAATTCAAATTCCATAGCAGAAAGTGATAGCCTTGAAATAGACTGACAATGACTGTTTTGCTGGTTTAATGAGATTTGTCTAATACTTTTTCTCAAATTAGTTTTTTAATTTATTTAAAAAAAAATAGATCACACATTTCTGTGAACACTTTGACAGCACATAGCCGAACACCAATGACATAACACAATATGACTGGGATCGAGAGATAAATTTTTTTTCTTTTGTACAAAAATATCACACATAGATGGTCAATCTTATTGGGAAAAAGACATCATGAAGGTTTAGCAGGTCCACAACCTTTTCCACGACGTGTTTTAACACTGGCTGCTAAATTTAATCTCGCTTTACGTTTTTTCGGATTTCTAGACGAATCACCAGAAACAAGAGGATCATTTTCAGTAGACAAGACAATTGAATTGCTGCATTTGGAGTGCAAAAACGTGTACAGTTTCATTGCACATTCACTAAAAAACAATAAGATAAAGGGAGTTCAGAAAATAGAAACTGGATTACAAAAATACTAATTGTTAACAAAATCAAAACATTGAGAAGCTACAGTCAATTAACTGTATATATTACAGGTAGACTTCAAAATGTCAGACACGAACATAACATATGTAAACTGCTTAGGTCTCATGGTTCCAGTCACATTGATAGTTGTGTACTAGACAATGTTATAAGTGTGATTTATCTCGGTGTGTTTTTCTTTGAACCTTTCCTGGTCCCACCATATCTAAAAAACGTTCTCCCCAATCTTTCAATATATTAGGAAGCTGAGGAATATCTTGTATAACTCAGCCCCTTCTCTTGTGTTTTATAAACTCTTGCATGTTGAATATCTCCTCCATTGTTCCCCTTTATTCTTTCGTGAATTGCTGACAAAAGACCATGCTATATTGCGTAGAAATTTGAAAATTGTCAGCAGAACTAGTTGTGTGCCTCTAAACCTCCTAGTTGAAACTGTTGTGAACAAACATCTTAACCCATGTAAACAGCTGGCAGGAGATATTTTATCAGATGACCAGCATCCTCTTTACTTGTATCTCCTGCGTATTGGTCGTCAGACAAGACCAGGAGCAAGTGTATAAGACTTCATGAACGTACTACTCAACATAAAATCTCTACAATACCGTATTTAGCTTGTCTCCTGTGCGACGAAGAAAGTACTAGAAATAAACTGACTAATCAACTTTTGTTTTTGAAACGAAACTAATCAAGAAGAAACACAGCTTGCTATTATTTATGTTATAAACTTCAGGATCAAAATTGATCTGAGTTGAATAAATTAAGCATTGGCTTATAAATGAAACATATTTCTAAAATCTCAATGTCTTACTATTTAAACATTCAAGAACATTCAACTTCTGCAGGTTTTATTCCACGAAGCTGAGAAATATCATAAACTCATTTTTCTACCTCGTTAAGATTTCACAACTATATTTCATTTATTATCTGTGCATTATGAAACTAATTGCTAAGTTAACTCTACATTTTCAAGTAAGCTGTAGATGGAACAAATATTCTTATCTTTTATACGTAATTTATATTTATTTCATTCTATTATATAAACTTATACACTATTTTTGTGCAACTGATACTATATAACATGCTGAAAATTCTGTACAGTATTCGGAAATATTTTCTAGAGTAAAGCTATTATTATCGTTATTATTGTTATTATTATTACTGTGAACGTATCCTGAACAAAGTGGACTGGATGATTTGAAAAGCAAATGTGAAAGTATGCAATTCAAGAGATGTTTAATTTTAGTTAGCTAACTCAAATCATAATAAACCTAATAGTGCTTTCTTCTTCACTTTAATTACCACTGAAAGTCAGAGAGAGTCTTAATTCAAATTAGAAACCCCAGTTTTTAGAGGTTAATACTTTTTCCGTTGAGCTGTATGTGCAAACCGCTTCGGAGTTCAACAGTACGATGAAACAACTACAGAGTATTTTCTGATCCTCAAGACGTTCTTGTCAAAAGCCATGGCAAAACTAATCAAACACTTTTAGCCTGTCATCATGAAATGCTTATAAATTACCAACATCATTTCTACACATTTGAATCCGGAAACGTTAAGGTAGAAACACAAATAATTAAGCTCATATATTTAACGTAAAACAGTTGATGGGGATTTAATTCATACGGATATGAAAGCGATGCATATCTCACTTCCCGACTGTTACGTATTAAAGGAAACAACTACAAATTTATTTTGCCCAAATAAAATGCAATCAACAACTAAATGGATCAGAGAACTCTTCCAGATCAGCTAGTTTGGTGAATGCACGCACATAATTAAACCAAATTAAAGAACCATATAACTGGTAAGTGGGGGGACTTCTCGACTAAAGATTATTTGTCGTTGCTACGCAGAGACCGAGACTGCACCGTATCTACAATCAATTCTCAAGACCATTATTCACTGGCACTCCATTTTAAATACAAGTACACTAGAGTTTAGTCAACCACCAATGATGACAAAGTAAACCAGAGCGCTCTCGTTACATGGATGAATTTATTTAGTAGTATTGGGTTGCATACCATTTGTTAGTATAGGTTTACACGATGGCCAGCCTACGACGTGACGCCATGATACTAACCTTAGCAACAGTATTCTGGCTTTCTGCATCAAAGTGCGCCTCAGTCTATCGAGATATTAGCAACTCGGAACCAAAGTCAGAGGTAATAACGCTCTATTTCTTTGTCCGCTAAATAAGGTGAACAAAAGGATAATCAAGGCCTCAAACTGAATACTTCTCAAAGATATCTAAAAGAATATTTCTTTCTCTGCCATACTTACAGTCCCGTCATAATCCCTTCATATTGTAGTAATAGCATACTATCACGTGTGAAAGATCTTTCTGTGCTTATTTTACCAGTTTACTTTTGCTCAATATACGAAGATTATTCGAATATCAAAAAATCTAGCGGGTTTCCACATTTAAATAGACATTTAAAAGTAGAGTTAATTACTGTGTACAACTGTAAGATAACATAATAAAATCAAAAAAGAAACTACTTCAGATTACAAAAAACATTCACCTGCTATCCAAAATTTCAGTCAACCTTTCTAAACTGCAATCAACTAAGTCGAACAGTGAAGATATATGATTCATAATACGTCGATAATTTTTCCATGATACACCAGGCAATTTAAGTAGCATGTCAACAGCTTCAACATTATGATCCTCTAAATGATCTCCATCCTGTGAAGTAAAAGAGTGCCATTAGAGTAGGTTGAGATAAATGAAGAGTATATATCCCTACGTTATTTACAATTAACAAAAATATGCAGCTTGATACAATTAATGAAGCATTGAATAATATTACATCTTAAGCAGTAGTCATACCGAAAAATAACGATGCATACCTGAGGAAGCTTTTCAACAGTTGGCTCTGGTCGACCGAGTTTAATTTCTGCAAACAATTCAGCAGTACAATAAGGGTCATACTCCAAAATATTCGTAAATTAGGAAAGTGAATGGTGAGCAAAACAAGTTTTGCTAATAGATGATGAGAATTGAATTCTGAACTGGGATTGATCGCATGCTTTCCAGTATATAAAGAGAAACCAACTGCTTCATTTCCCCGAAATCCTCTTGTATTTCCATGACTGAGACTAGAAACTGCATTAGAATGAAACAGTGATAATGATAATGTTAGAGAATCGTGAAAATTAATTAAGGGCGATTCACTAACGACATTTATGTTTCTGCATTACATCTTTATTTTTACCTATTTTACTAGGCTGAAAATACAGCCCAGTTATAGATACTGAATTACATAGAGTGGATGTAATGTGACTCCAATTTCACACGCCTGAGTAGATGATATCTCAGTATGCATGACAAAATACAGACACTAAAGCTGGCTATACACTAACTTACCTACCATACTCGTAACTCGAGTCGACCTCAAAATTTCTGACACAGTGACTCCATAAAAGGGGGCAATAATTAAAGAACACTGGAATTTTACTTTTCACTTTACTCGCATTAAAACAGTTGCCAAAACAATAGAAAGAATTACACAACATAGTCACTCTTCGATAGGCCTCGGAGTACTTTTCAAAAACCATAATATGATTGTTCTTACTTCGCCAAAAAGACCTTAGTAATACAATACAGAATATACAATACGTAGCTACGAAATAAAAACAAAACATTTAGTGGATCCTCTTTTCCAGTAATCACTTAAATGAAGTCAAATCTAAGAGATGCTTTGCAAATGAACCAGTCTATCCAACTTCCATAAAAATATAGGGTATCCTATGTTCAAAAACAATAATTACTTTTATTAGGCATGGAAAATTCTATAAGGAGGACTGGACTTGCGTAGTGACGTGACATTGCGGTGGCTTGAAGAAAGAGTCTTCCAGAATTGAGAGAACCAATAAGATCACTGACGGACTTCCTTTCGACACACAAATGAGGAGCAAGAATATAATCTGCAATGCTCAAAGTCATTGGTTCCACCTAATTAGGTTTTAAAAACATATAAGAAGTGATCCATTTACTTAGTTTTATCTAAAAAGGATACCTCAAACAATTATACAAAACGTTATATTTATTATTTGAAAAAAAGCAAACCAGAGCTATGATGACAGTTTGAAATATCAGATAATGAGGACTTCGGTTATACTCAGAAACTGACAAAGAAGCTTGAAACATGTACAATTCTACTCACCAAAAATTTAGAATTTAACATAATTTATAAATCAGTGCACATATAAAATGGAACAAGAAACTCAACATACAGGAAGTTCACCAGTGAACAATTTCCTAGGATACGTTGTAATCAGTATTTGTGATCCGTCTTCCATAGTGTAAGATCCAATTTAGGGGACACAATAAATAAAACTAACTATTCTCGTGGATTAAGTCAATATGAAGGTTGGAGGTGCATGATCGAAGGAGTCTTTGTCGTCTAACTCAAAGACGGACGGCTGTTCTTTTCGAAATACGATTATGAGATTGCGCATAACACATTTGAAAATGTAACACGGATGTTACATATTATAAAACTGAGATGATGACAGCTTAATTTCTACATTAAAAAGGATTGATGAATACAAAATGTCAACGTACTATGAATTGGAAACCTTAATTTCGATCCAATAATAAACATGAAGTTCAGGATGACATGAGCACGAGCAATGAATGAAGCTGATCTATTTAAAAAAATTCTTCGACTTCCTTACGGAGAGATTTTGAAAGACAAGGTTTTAAAGTGATTACTTCAGTTCTGAAACTTTTCTTCCACAACCAGCTGCATCACATTTGAATGAATGTCTTTGATTTTCCTTTTTATTTCCATCTTTACTTTCATGTATCTGATTGTTATGATCATAGGTTCTGATCCCATATATATGTATTACTCAACAAAGTCTTTCTTCTAAAACTATCCGCTAGTGAGTAACTTTATTCAACTTTAACGAACTTGACGTTGAAGCTTCCATCAGGAACACAAGTGTGTTTTATCTAGGATACACAATACTATCATTTTCGATGTTCATTGCACTTCACAGACTCACATTCGAAATTCCAGTATAATTCATTGATTTGGACAGTCGACTTCCAGGTAATGGGTCCCAGATTTAAAAGCGGCTTCGCCTAATTTCGACTGAATAACCTGATAGTATCACAAACCATCAAAAAGTATGTAGGTCTTATGATTTGCTACGGTAACCACGAATGGATTGCTGAATTGCATTACATGCTTTTAGTGCCTCCAAACTGATTTCAAATTCTTGGAGGAATGAGGGAGAAAAATGGTTGATATGATAAAACCACATATTGGTTCAACTTGCTACAGTTCACAACTGCACAATGTACAATGCTAGAGGAAGTTGGATTAGGTTGCAAAAGGGTTCAGGGTGATCAGACCAAGTCATAATACCAGTCGATGAACTCCCTGATTGTCAGTCTGATCTGTATAGTGGGATGTAGTCTACCTAGCTGGGGTCCACGAAACGATAAGAATCAGTGGTTGAAGACTCTTAGTGGGACGGTTTAAAATCGGTCATAGTGGTGCAGATGTATTCATTCTTTGACATCTAAAGCCTGAATATTCGCACTGACCTTTATTTCGGATTGTTTACTCTTTCACACTAATTTATATACTTTGATATCATTCCTTTTCTATCCTCCTGCTCTTATTGTACTACTGCGAAGTATGGTAACTTGAGCTGATGCAATTGTGTGCGAGGTTCTACGATGATTTTGTCTGTCTGTCTGACAACCGCACAGATAGGAGAAAACAATTTAAGGGACAGAAAGGGAATATTGACAATGATAGTGAAGCACAAAGTGAATAAGATGATAAGAACCTGGAATGATAAGATATTCCAAATTTAGAACTGAGATAAGGTATTTATGACTTGATCACACGCAGATGTTTCGAATGAGAGAGACAACCATGCAGACTAATCATGAAAGAATTATTTTGCATTTATTCCTTGCAACTGTTTACACCTGGCGTAAACTGTTTGCTTTGCCACTATGGATCACTTTTCTATAGGCTTTTCTTCTTTGTTTAACATGATACTTGACTTTTCTGGCAAACATGAATGTGTTTAGATACTTCCAAATTCTTACGGTTACAGTGTGCAACAAGAGTGTCTAGATCTATAAAAAAGATCGAAACCCCTGACATATTTCACAACCAATCATTACACTCCAGAAAAGACAAGTCCAAATATCAGATGGGCCGAAGAGGGAGAATTACTACGAAATCTCTGAAAAGGCCTAGAAATGACCAAGGTCATTGCAAATACATACACAAACTATATGCCTCACATAGGCATTCATGTTGAAATACACCTTACGTTGCTTTACCACTTTCCTATTACAATGATCATAATAATAATACTACCACTAAAAACAATAATGATAGTCACTTAATTCCGGGAAATATGTTTTATACAGTATGGAAAACTTAGCATGTGATATTTCAGTAAACGTACCCCGTCTAAGAAAATTCTTAAACGAAATAATAATAACAGTTTAGTGATGTTTACAATAACAGACGGTCAGACAGACAAAATCAAGGCAGAACCACGCACACAAATGCAACAGTCCAAGTTGTCAAACTTCACGGTAGTATACAAAGAACTAGTGCACAGAGGAAGATTGATGTCAAAGTAGACAATCTGGAAATAAAGGTTAGTGCGAATATTCAGACTTTAGATGTCAAAGGATGAATACATCTGCGCCACTATGACCGATTTTCAGACATCTCACCAAAATTTCTCAACTACTGATTCTTATCGTCTTGTGAACCCCAACCAAGTAGACTACATCCCACTACACAGATTAGACCGATAGTCAGGGGGACTTCAGCAGCTGGTGCTATGACTTGGTCTGGCCACTCTGAAATTTCTTTCAGTGTAATCTAGCTTTTCCTTCCATGGCACCTTAAGGTAAGTGGTGACTCAGCATGCGCAAGAAATATCAAAGCCATCTCAGCCGATGAATGTTCATAAACTCACCAATCAACTTGCCTAACTCGTCCGTCTTGTCTGGACTTTCGCCTGACCTCGATATCGCTCACATAGTGATTTCACCAAACGAAAACAATGTTACGAAGATATCTGTGATCAAAACCAGTCATGGACACCACTAGTTGTCGTTAATTCACATGAAAACGATCCAGGAGCCCTGATATGGCTGTATGAGTTCGAGTAGAGAGCCTCGTTAGGTTACATACTTGATCGGTACTCCCTTCACAGTCACACATTGTTACAACATCTCACAGTCGACAGAGTCAAATGCAGCTTTCATGTCACGAATTGTGGCAAGTGTCGGCCACCGGTAAGTATGTCTGTGTTCCAGAACCGTCGGAGAGTGAAAATAGGGTCGATGCACTAGGTCCAAAACCCTCCTTTTTTCGAGTTTGCTGTTCTCGAGCTCCACTTAGGTATAAGATAACTACGGACCTTATGAATTCGGACAAAATATTAGTTAAACTAATTCCCCTATTGTTGCCACAGGAAAACGTTCTCTCCCTACATTTAGACTAGGATGACCAGTGAAGTGGAACAGTACATAAGGTATTTTTGTGTAGATCATCAGTTAGATGGTTTTTTGTTCAAACTAAGCAATTATGATTAGCCACCACGAACTCTTATTCTTAGTGTCATTCGTAAACGAATAATTTAAAGTAGTGGAATTATCTACGTGTCACCGATTGTTAGCACTATTTGTAAGAAAATATTTGTTTGTTGATGAACACAAAGTAATTGTAACTGATTTTAGAATTTCAATCAGAATAGGTAATCTCTAATAGTTTGATAGAGTATTTGCCAAATTTACCACACGGATTACGCACTAGCTTCCTTCACATAGCAGAGGCGATTGCAAACCACCTTTACAAACCTAGCCTTTGTATTCAAACGAAGTTTCTTCTGACCACTCTCATTACCGTGGCCGTCAACATGAGTTAACTTCTAGGATTACTTTGTACACCTCTCCCCCTTCTTGTTTCTATCAATATTCATTTGTTTTCTTATTATTACGTAGTCGCTTATTGTGAATGACTGAACACTCATCAAAAACCACTCCATTTACCTAAGAATAGCTTGCTTCATATTTCCAAGTTTAGTAACTCTATTGACTATTTACACCCTTATTTCTAAAACGTCACCATGTGATTGGCAATTCGATTAAATTGTAAAACTGTAAAATAGAGTAGAACCCAAGATGAAGACCTAATTGAAAAGGAATATATTTCTTCGCTCAACCAGTCTTTTTCTAAATAAGTAAAAATTCTATTGCTTCTTCATTGTTTGTAGCATCTGATTTCGTTAAAGCATTTAAGGCTTACGAATGAGAATTGCTTCCCAATGCCTCCATTATCAAAACCAGCCATAAGTCCACTTTCGGTAGCAAGTACAGTTATCGTCGATCGCTTTTTCAAATTTTTGAATTCATCTTGATTCTGCGAGGGTTGTTTCATAGAAAACCTGAGTCTATTCACACTAGCTTTTAATGGTTTAGAGCTCTTCTCAATGTTACAAGCCTAACATTTCAAATATTTGATTTTGCAGACATAGTTGTTGCATCACTTCAAGAAATGTATCTTCCATTTCAACCTTTCCGATGAATCTGAAGGTTTGAAGTAAACCTAAATAACATGAAGGGCAAACACTGAGTCTGCTCAGAAGTAACTATCTGATGTGGTATCGTTATAAATGACACCCATGACTTCGTTGTAATCTTATCACGCTTGTCAATTGCTGGGTTTTTTTATCTGATGAACGATGTTGTTCAAATAATTTTTACGGGTATTAATTTTCCGTTGAAATCAGCATTACTTTTAAAATTTCATTTTCTATATTATTGGGATCTATTGTAATGTTTTTCGTCTTATTTAATAGGTCTCATAATACAGTAGCTTTCATGTTGATTGGATGGTTAGATTAAAGGTTTAAATATGCATCGGAGTATGTCAATTTCTTTTATATGCTTATGCTAAATATACCTTTGTTCATTCTTTGGATAAGAGGATGTGGGAAGCCCAGAGTCTTGACCTTATATTCTACTTTATTTGTTGATTTTACAGAATGTAAACAGAATTCCTGTCTTTAAAAAGCCCGATAGCCTAGTTTCTTAAGAATAACAAGCGTGTTATCCACATACTTAAACCAAAATCTGGGCTAGTATTGGGATATGTTTGTCTGCATGTGAAGATTCGTCGACATGGACGAT